ACACCTGGGTACACCTGGGTACACCTGGGCATACCTGGGTACACCTGGGCATACCTGGGTACACCTGGGTACTCCTGGGATACACCTGGGCACACCTGGGTACACCTGGGTACACCTGGGTACACCTGGGCATACCTGGGTACACCTGGGCACACCTGGGTACACCTGGGATACACCTGGGCACCCATCTTGGCCTCTGCAGAGCCCACCTGTTACCTGAGCACACCTGAGCCCCCCACCCCATTCTCCATCACCTGGGGCTCACCTGTCCCACCTGTGCCCCACCCAAGCACACCTGTCCCACCCGAGCTCATCTGAGACCCACCTGAGCACACCTGAGCTCACCTGTCCCCCACCTGATCTCACCTGAGCCCCACCCAAGCTCACCTGATCTCACCTGAGCCCCACCCGAGCGCACCTGATCTCACCTGAGCCCCACCCGAGCGCACCTGATCTCACCTGAGCCCCACCTGAGCTCACCTGATCTCACCTGAGTCCCACCCGAGCTCACCTGAGCAGACGACGCCGGCGTCCTCGCTGTGGCCGCAGTTGTGCTCGCCCCAGGTGTGCAGGTGGCACTGGCTCAAGGTGAGCTCCTCACCTGTGCAGTGCGTCCCGTCCAGCCAGATCGGGTCCCGGCCCTGCCCGAAGTGGGCGTGGCCAGGTGCGGCCAGGGCGGTGCCGCAGCCCAGGTAACGGCAGATCACCTGTGCAGGTGAGAGCTGTGAGCCCGGCCAGGTGTGATCCCGGCACAGGTGTGTCCTGGGTGTGATCCCAGGTGTGTCCTGGGTGTGTCCCAGGTGTGTCCTGGGTGTGTCCCAGGTGTTCCCAGGTGTGTCCTGGGTGTGTCCTGGGTGTGTCCCAGGTGTGTCCCAGGTGTGTCCTGGGTGTGTCCCAGGTGTGTCCTGGGTGTGATCCCAGGTGTGTCCTGGGTGTGTCCCAGGTGTGTCCAGGTGTGTCCTGGGTGTGATCTCAGGTGTGTCCCAGGTGTTCCCAGATGTGTCCCAGGTGTGTCCCAGGTGTGTAATGGGTGTGTCCCAGGTGTTCCCAGGTGTGTCCCAGGTGTTCCCAGGTATGTCCTGGGTGTGATCCCAGGTGTGTCCCAGGTGTGTTCCCCACCCCCAGGTGTGTCCAGGTGTGTCCAGGTGTGTCCAGGTGTGTCCTGGGTGTGTCCCAGGTGTGTCCCCAGGTGTGTCCCCAGGTGTGTCCCCCACCCCCAGGTGTGTCCCCAGCTCACCTGTGCATCCGCCATGTCCCAGGTGTCGTCGCAGACCGAGCCCCACCTGTGCTTGTGCAGCACCTCCACCCTGCCCACACACCTGGAGGAGCCGTTCACCAACCGCACCTGGGGACACACCTGGGGTCACCTGGGGACACCTGAGATCACCTGGGGACACCGGGGGACACCTGGGGACACCTGGGGACACCTGGGGACACCTGGGGACACCTGGGGACACCTGGGGACACCTGGGGACACCTGGGGACACCTGGGGACACCTGGGGACACCTGGGGACACCTGGGGACACCTGGGGACACCTGGGGACACCTGGGGACACCTGGGGACACCTGGGGACACCTGGGGACACCTGGGGACACCTGGGGACACCTGGGGACACCTGGGGACACACCTGAGATCACCTGGGGACACCTGAGATCACCTGGGGTCACCTGAGGACACCTGAGATCACCTGGGGACACCTGAGATCACCTGGGGACACCTGGGGACACCTGGGGACACCTGGGGCCTTACCTTCAGCTGTGCCTGGGTGTCCACCTGTGGATCCACCTGTGAATTCACCTGGGGGTTCACCTGGGGCTGTACCTGGGGCTGCAGCAAGGGATCCACACCTGGGGGGGGAACACGGGAACACCTGAGCTCACCTGAGCTCACCTGGGGTCACCTGAGCTCACCTGAGCTCACCTGGGGTCACCTGGGGTCACCTAGGCTCACCTGGGGTCACCTGGGGTCACCTGGGGTCACCTGAGCTCACCTGGGGTCACCTGGGGTCACCTGGGGTCACCTGGGCTCACCTGGGGTCACCTGGGGTCACCTGGGGTCACCTGACCGTGCTCAACTGAGCTCACCTGTCCATACCTGCACACACCTGTCACGGCTCACCTGTTCCCACCTGTCCCCTCACCTGTTCCCACCTGTCCCCTCACCTGTCCCCTCACCTGTCCCCACCTGTCCCCGCTCACCTGCGCA